CTATTCTGCCTCAGCAGACATCTTGCTCCTGGAGTTCCCATTATTTAAAATAGTGACAGTAGCACTATCCTAGCTAATAGAAATTGCAAGGTGAAATATCCCAAGTTGTAAAATGGCTCATGTATTGTGGTGACTGGAGATTTTATTTTTCCTTTTTAAAACCTCCTGGAGTTTCATATTTCATACTTGGGAATCGTGGGAGACATAACCAAAGCTTAAGATACTTTTGATCAGCCTTCAGTATTTTTTCCTGTTCTTGCCTGTTGTAGTCCCTCTCCCTCTCACTGGGTCAGCAAGATTACTTAAAGAGAATGTCTTGTAAAATGGATTTGAAACTTCTAAAAGAGGAAAAATAAGTGCAATTTTTATATATTGCTGACACACATTTTTATATGTATTATGTTTTTATAAATACATGGTTATAAATCTGTGTATAAACTTGGTCAGCTTTTGCTCTGTTTTACCACATGGTTCCACAAGCCAGTTGTGCAAAAACAGCTGAAGAGGGCATAAACAAACAGGGCTTCAGGAGCACTGGAGATGAGCATAACTGGCACTGAAGTTCTGGTGAGATGAAACGAAGGGCTGAGAAGAAAGATTAAATATTTTGTGACTTCCACTGAAAAGTGAAGTTGCTGGGACCTGTGCTTTGAAAGCCATGGTGGACTATTCCCAAGAGGGAACCAAATAAATCAGTTTCAGTAGGAGAACCAGCCTATGCTTTTTTTTGCCATATTATTAATACTCTTCCTTTCCATTTTTTTGGCTACACCCATTGTGACATCCATTTTCATACCTGGTATCTGAAAGTGGCCTACATTTTGCCTTTAATACTTGGCAGAGCCATTTAGATGCAGTGGTCTGATGTTCATTGGCTCGTCCCTGGCGTGTACATGTGGGACTGAAATTATTTTCTTGATGTGAAGGCATCACTCAGCAGCAAAATTCTGTGATTCGGTAATCAAACATTAATGAAGTACAGAGCGAGCTTTTGAATGTTTTTCATGCCCTGATTACTAAACAGAGGTAAGATCTGTAGTGAAGCAAAATGTATTTGTCCTCGTGCTGAGGTTACACTGTCAAGTGGGACCACTGTAAGAGGCTGTTGAATGCCCTGCAGCAACACCTACCACTGAAGTCTCAATCAGACGTGGAGTTAAGTGCAGTGGCTGGTCAAAACACAGCTGGGTGGACTGGTTAGAGCTTTTTTTACCATGTATTTTTCCAGTAAATAAGCAGTTCTGTGTGATTTATTAACTGAGCTATCTAAACTCGGAGTTAGAGTTCCAGCAGGAGGAAGTGGCATCTAATCTGTAAAGCTGCTCCATGGCTGCAAATTCAAGTGGCGGAAGGTTACTGAAGCTTGTAAAGTGTCCCTGGTGGCAATAGCATAACCATAAGAGAGTCATATGTTTTCTTGCTACACAGTGGGAGGGGAGGCTGAGCTGGAACTATGTTTTCCCTAGTGCTCATTGCTCAGGCCTGAATTTTGGAGCTGGCTATTGACTTCATGTGTGTCTTTGGCTGTTCACTGTGAAGTACAAACTGTGCTGTAAACCAGTCATTCTCTTAATGCAAGATGCATTACAGATAATGGTAAATTAAACTAATCTTTTGTAGTGTTTGAAGGTAAAAATAGAAAACTGGAAAACTTCAATAAGGTCTAATAATGAAAACTTTAAAAAAATAAGGTTAGAGGTATAGTTGTTTTGCCTTTTTTTTAACCTACCAATAGAATGTTCCCACTATTTGCAAACTATGACTGGCATTGTGGAGATTTTCTTGCTTATTACAAAACATAATTTTAAGTTTTTAACCTTGAGGAGGGAGGATTAACTATTGTTGTCATGTAGCTTCAATGGCAAGGCAGATATTTATGTTGCATTAGTTTTCACGAGTGCATAGCAATTTTTTTTCTGTAGTTAGTCTATGTCAGTCTAAATTTTATGGCAAACCAAAGGATGCAACATGAAAAAATGGTTTAAAATACTTGTGCATTCTCATAGTTTTTTTGCTGAGAGCTCAATTTTCTGTGACAAGTGAAAACCACTGAAAGTATCTAGCTGCAGTATAGGTTTGCAGTGGTACAAATTTACACTTCCAGTAAGTGAATTTCAAACAGAAGACTTTTTTCAGACTTCTAAATCCATACTCTGATATTTGCCTTGCATTTGAGTGTCAGTTATCATACAAGCTCCTGTGTTGGAAAGCAGGTACCTGGCCATGACCTACAACTCACTTCCATGTTTTTTTCCAAGGAAGTTGGTTCTTGATGACTGCTCACACTGAAGTTTGTATGTGCACCTGTCTTGGTTTAACCCCAGCCAGTGGCCAAGCCCCATGAGCAGCTTGCTCACTCTCCCACCAGCGGTATCAGGGAGAGAATTTGGGAGGGTAAAAGCTCAAAAACTCGTGGATTGAGATAAAGACAATTTAATAGGGAAAGCAAAGGCTGTGCATGCAAGCAATGCAAAACAAGGAATTAATTCACTGCTTCCCATGGGCAGACAGGTGTTCAGCAGTAGAGCAGGGCCCCATCACACGTAGTGGTTACTTGGGAAGACAGATGCCGTCACTCCAAATGTTCCCACCTTCCTCTTTCTAAGCCCCACTTTATATACTGAGCATGATGTCATATGCTACTGGAATATCCCTTTGGTTAGTTTGGGTTAGCTGTCCCAGCTGTGTCTCCTCCCAACCTCCCATGCACCCCCAATTTCCTTGCCAGTGTGGCAGTACAAAAAGCAGCAAAGGCTTTGGCTCTGTGTAAGCTCTGCTCAGCAGTAACACAAACATGACTATGTTATCAACCCTGTGTTCTGCACAAATCTTAAACTTAGCCCTATACTAGCCACTGTGAAGAGAATTAACACCACCCCAGCCAAACCCAGCAGAGCACCATAGACATGTATAGAAATGCCCCATTCTCCTTTGATCACTGTTAAATTATCTTTTTCAACTTGGGTGTTTTGTGTGTAGCCTTTTCTGCTATCATACACAGTGCTGAGCAGTCATTTTGTGATCGTCTTTTGGTGGTCAGAATGTAGGTAGTTTTGAAATTACTTTTGAAAAACAAAGTGAATAAACACTGTTGATACAGACTTGGACTTGCCTGGTGTTAAAATGTTATTCTAGAGCAGAAGAGGTGAGAGAATGACATTACATGTACAAATACTGGGTATTTCATGGCATGAAGTACTTTGTGGTGGAGGGTTCTTTTCACAGAAAAAGCCTGTCAAGAAGGGTACAACACTGCTTTAGGGTGTTGATTCTGATGTCATTTAATAAAAATTACAGAATTTTATGAGGCTTTGGGGCATGGATATCTGAGATTGAATAAATGTTATATTGTCTTTTCTCAAAGATACCTGTGAAACAATTAACAGTGCATTTGAATGTGCTTTTTGAAAGGGGCAGTTGAAAATTGTGCAGAATTTTGTTTTTCCTGGTAGCTGTAATTTTTTCATAGTGGTCTCCTAATGTAGTTTCTTTCTTTGCAAAAAGAAAAGAATGACCTGCATTTTAAATCTGCTATAGCACTTTGCACCATCAGTGCACTGCGTTTATGCTTCTGACAAAATGACGAATTTGGAAGCACCAGGCGTGACCTGAAGTATTTCTCTTCCTTCCCTCCAGGCGCTTGCATGCATATGCACAGACACACGTGCACGGTCATGCCCTCTCTGTTTTAGAGTCCTAGCAGGCATGTTGTGATACTGTGTGGAAAAGAAACATGGCATTTGGGTCAGTGTTTCTAGTTCACAGACTACCTGTGATGTAAGATGGCTTATTGCTGTACACAAGAATAATCTCTGATACACTAGTTAAATGGAGTGTAAATAGCTGCAGGTTCAGATACCCTTACATTTCAGGAGTTTTAAGAATTGATTGATGACCCTGTAAGAGGCAGCAGCTCTGCTTTTCTGGTTGTGGTTAATTATATCGCAGGTGATGGTGTCACGTTATGTGCATGTATAAGTGAGACATGTGCCTATTCAGTGTGTGCTGAGTGCTAGCCTGTTCCAGTTCCTTGTCCCATGGCATTTGTTTAAGCCAGAAAAAAAAAAGAGTAAGTGACTGTTAATTTAATGAGCAGGGAGAGGTTAGTACCTGTCTATCTAATTCATACCTTTTCTGTATTTTATTGCATTGAAGGAATATCAGTGCCTAACAGTTCTAGCACATAAACAGCTAAACAGTACTTGACATTTAAAGAGATTTTCTGTTGTGCACTTGTATAGTCAAGAGTAATTCTAATCCTATTAGAGATATTATGTCATGGAGGCGTGCCCTGGAGGAGAGGGCTTCTGCTAACTGGCCCGATGGAAAGCAGAGGGGAGGGGCGAGCAGGAGGGCGGATTTATTTCTCGATAGTTAGGTCAGGGATTTCTGTGGGAAATGCCCAGTGGTTGCAGTTGCTGATGATTTCACGGCAACAGCAGTGAAACACGGAGTGCGCTCCGGTAGCTGGTTACTGAATGAGACACTGCAAATGGGTGGAAAGAAAAAAGACAGCATGTGATAGAGAGTCAGAGAGACACAGAGAGGGAAGCTGAGAGCAAGGAAAGTGCTCCTGCTCGAGGAGAGTCTCCCAGGTGTACTGCAGAAGCTTTTTGGAAATGGATGCAAGGACCATCTGCTGCCTATAGATTAGCAGGCTGTGGACTAGGAGTGCAGAGAAAGAGCTTATGGCTCTTTTGAATAAAAATCAAAGTTCTGCATAACTGATTCATCAAGATAAATCATGAGTCTGCTCTTGCATGGCATATTAATGTATAAATCCATGCTTCAGATAGACAGAATACAGCCTACATTGCTATAAAAAATAAAACCAGCAACAATGCAGTGAATAAATTCTGCAGTGATTATCTGATTTATGTACGAAGAAAAAGAGAAGCAAAACACAGACAGCTCTTATCGCACTGTGGCATTTGCAAGGCACTGCATTTAATGCTGAGAGATGCTATACATTAAATCTGACAACTGTGAAAAGAGAGATCATGGAGAAGTCAAGTAGTGAGGATTCTTCAATTCACCGGAGTCCATCTTTGGATAGCAAAGACTCAGATTTTGCTAAACCTTCTACCTCAGGGAGGCAATTTGGTCGAGGTTTTACTGCAGGAGCTTTCTATGGTACAACTGGATCACGCACACAGAGCCACACTGGGGTCGGAACCGGGACCGGCGCTGGGACTGGAACTGGCGTAAAAAGTGATAAATACGGTGCACCCAAAGGCAGCAAATACGTGGTCTTTTACCTGGATCTATCCTTTGTTTTCCTTTTAGAATTTAAGAAGTGCAACATGGCAAGAGGCTGCCTGTGTTGTTTGAAATACATGATGTTCCTTTTCAATTTAATATTTTGGGTGAGTACTGCCTTTTCAGTTGCCTTCATCTGTTTGTGTATCCTGTACTGCTGCATTATGTGTATGGTGCATCTTTGAAGCAGTACAGTAAGTTCCCTTCTCCCCTCCCTCTCTCTCATACCTGCTTGGAATATTTTCAGTGTTAAACTTGTGTCTTTTGGGAAAATGCACATGCTTTCTGTATCTTAATTGCTACCTGGTTACTGTAGTTTGGCTTCTAATTACTCAAACTTGCTATTATAATATGTGTTTTGAACTGGGTTATCTAAGAAAGGGCAGAAATGTTGCCCTTTAAGGAAGACCAGAATTATTGTAGCATTAAAATCCTGCAGTGGCTGGATTTTTGCATTCTGTTGTAATACCTTGTGTAGCAAAAAGCTCCAGGTTAATTTTTGAAGTATATTCTCATTGTCACCATAAGTCTCATTTGCCTTTTGTAAACTTCATTTCACAAACTGCTTTTTCATTTGAAGGAAGTTGTGTCCTATTTCTCCAATTAAAACAGTAAACTCTGTATGTTCTAACCTCATAAGGTATCAGCATAAATGTGAAATGCCTGGAACAGTGAATTAATCTGGATTCAGTTTCAGCTGCAGTTGTACACATTAGTGCATGAAGTTGGAGACTTGCACTTGCTTCTCAGGGATCAAAATCGATTTTCCTCCCTCAGCCAAGAGGCATGAGGAGTTGTAACAATGAATGCCTCAGCAAGCAAGTTAAAAGCATAATGGCTACTTTGAGCAAAGTATTGTCATATACAAGGGAGGGAGGAAAAGTTAAGTCATCTAGCAGCTCGGCATCCTTCAGTACAGTATTTTTTAGGAAATCATAGGCTAATTGAAATAATGAATATAGCCCAATATGAAACAGTTTGCTTAGTTTGAAAGCAAAGGTCACTGCTTTCCTGATAGTTACAAAGCTTGAGCACGTGAACAAAATCATTCATGGCTGCAATCCAGAAATATACAGTAAGCTTCATAAATACATGAAAACATCATCCCTGGATTTATTTTGGAAAAAGGGGCATTAGCAGTCTAGTTCAGATAGCTACCTCTGGTGTATAGATACCATTGTTCAAATTAGGAATCTTACTAGCAGGTTCTCTGTTTATCTTGACCCACTTACTGAAATAACCTCTAAGAGCAAGAGTTAATGGGAGATTTGGTACAGTTGAACTGCTCACGCAACGGTGAGCTTTTATCAGTCACAGACTGAAATTCTACAACCACTGAACTTGTGGACATCTTACTGAAACAGAAAGATAGAATTGATCACTGAAGAATATCTGATCAAAGTTTATTTGTGAATTTAATTTTTTTTTCTTTCTCTGTACATAAACCCTGCTAGAAAGTTGCCTTAACTATTTTTGTTATAAATAATTTTGAACACACCATATTTATATCAAACTGGCTATTTGACCCTGCATTACTTCCACACCTTTAAAGTATTTATTTTTTCATATCTATATGTTGTGACTGGTTTTGGAATAGCTTTTTTCTGGTATCATTACTCATGTCCTCTGCAATCAGTCACTAGGTGTCTCTTACCTCTCACCTTGTTAGATGCAACATCTTTCTTTGCTTTTATCTTCTTCCCAAACAGCAATTTTCCTGACTCTGCATCAGACCTTTAGAGTCCATTTTTACTGTTCCTTGAACTAGCAAAAATATTGCAGACTTCATCTGTGTGCTCATCTCTGTCTGCTCAGCTCCCACTGGACTTTTATACAAACACATTGCTTCTTAGGTTAAAACTAGCCTACCATCTGGAACAGTTCTCTAGTGTCCTGTGCTGCTTCAGTTCTTACTCTTGCCTCTTAATCCTCTTCACACTCTTCTCACCATGTCTTTTGTTGTGAGGCTTATATCACTTTTCTTTCTATTAAACTTTGGCACCACATCTCTAATATTCTAAAAATGCTTTTTTTTGTGTGAACCAATGGAATGAAAATGATACTCTGGCCTGGTGAATCTGAGAGATTATAGAAAATTGCTAAGTGCAAGATGTCAGGTACTTTTCAAAATAGTTTACAACAGAAATTTAATTCTCCAGCCTGGTTTAAATTGCTTAGAACTCCCTCTTTCTTCACTGTAGCTGACTCAATTTTGCAAGACAGAATGATGTTCCCATGCATCCTTCCAGTCTTGCTATATTCTTTTTTTATTTTTCTTAACTGGGCTGTTTTATTGTTTCGAGACATTCAATTAATAACATTATAATATCTTTATATATGTGGAACTGCATGCTAGAAAGAGGTATACTACAGACAGGCATTCTGTAGTTTGCCACATCTGTCTTCATACCTAGAATCTACATTAGTTCTACTATGAGTGTTTGACAGGTTTCAAATGTTTGGCTCTGTATGTACTCCTTGCTGATGCTGTGCACCTGCAGTATCTCTCACTCACTGCTGCTCTGAACTGCTAGCCCAACTCTGGACTCCCCACACAGCTCTGCCAGTGCCCTCTGTTCCTACCGTGCCCTGGAGCACTCCCTGCTATTTCAGTCTTATCTTTCTTCTTAACCTGTTTTTTCCATTCCCAGATTTGCTCCTTCTCATTGCTTCCTTCTGAATTTCTGTTAAGAAATCTGAGTCCAAAACCATGAAGTTGTGGCCTGCTCTTGAGCAATGACTATCATCTTTTGTAATGCAAGGTGATTTATTTTTTAAAAGAGAAGACTCAGTTTTAAATGTGAAATTTTCTGAACTGAAATTTAAAGCAGAATGAGACTCCTGGTCTTCAGAGGTGAGGAGACCACTTCCACACTGTTGTCTTTTGGCAGAGACAAGAAGTGTTTTGTTTTGGGCTTTTTAAAATATAGGAGCTGGTTTATAAGCAAATGGAAACAGAGGTGGGAAAAGTGTGTTTCAGGGAGTCTTTAGACAGGTGCCAGTCCAGCAGCTGTACAGCTGCAATAGGCAGTCCAGCAGACTAGCTTCCTTACCACAAAGCTGCATTGTTCTGAGCCTGTAGCAGCAGGAAGCCTGTCTCGTGGGAAGTGGTGTTCTGCCATAGTAAAATGGTGTTTTTGCGATGCTTCCTCTGGAAATGAGAACAGGAGGTGTCCTTTGGCATCCCAGAATGCTGGGCACTATTGTTGTGAATGATTCTCAGTGTTGGCCCAAAGAAGGATGTTCTTCTCTAGGACAAGAAGGACCTTTTTCCATTATTTGCTTGCTGGCAGAGAAAGAGACTTGGACCCAATGTGTCCCTCACAGGCCAATGGGCTGTACTACTCCTTAAGCCTGGCAGCTAACTCATATGTATTATATAGGAAATTTATGTATTAGGAATATTATATATTACACACATAATTTTTACATAGAATATATTTTACATACTTCAATATATATTGATATATATATATATATACAGGTTTATGTTTTAAGGTGATGAAGTGCAGTTAGTGGATTCTCTCTGCCTCTTGTAGCCAATATATTGTCTCCATGATAACTACAAGAGTTGCCCTGTATTGTTTCTGCCCAGCAAAAATTCAGTGTGAATTAGACTCATGACAAGAAAATAAAGGTTTTGGAAATTAGTGCAACGTGTATTAGTTAACCTGGAAGCATCACATATGAGTTGTACAAAACAAATTTATCTAAGTGGGGCCTAACAGTAAATTGAAACAGAAGGTGTTTCTCCCCCATATTAGTAAGTGCTTCAGGTATTTCTCTGTGTCCCTCTGATTCTTAGCAGTTGTTCATGGCCATCTGGCATTGCTTTCTTTTAGAGATTAGGGAAGTCTGAGCTGAGGGTTAAGGAAGCTTATAGTATTTAATTGTGTGGCTAGGATGATGATTTACACTGAATTCATCCTAAGTGCATAATATGTTTTGCAAAGGTACTGGACAACTACAAATGTTAATTGATTTAGTTTGCCTTCAAGAATATTTATGTGCAAACATACAGAGATTGTAAAGTAGCCAATATAGCTCTGCAAAAGAAATAAAGTATTGATTTTTGCTTCTAGAGATAGCAGCTAAATTGTCAAGAAAGGTAATAGGCAAATATAAACATTAGGGTATATGTCTTTCTATGGTAGATTTCACTTCACTGTGTTATCAGAGAAAAGGATTACAACAGTTATTTTCATGAAATGTATCAGATAATCTTACTGTTATAAAATGAAAATTCTATAAAACACGAACTTTAGAAAGAAATTTCACTCATGAAATGAGAAATTCATAGCGTCTTAAAAGGGAAATTTTGAAGTGACTGGAATAATTTATCAAAAATTCACTAGAGAACTTTACAAGTAGTCAGTGGTCATGGTTATATTTTGGGTTGTTCTGTTGATTAACTAAGGTTAATGATTCCACAAAGAATCAGACATTCATAATACACATCTTGTTAAATTTTAACAGTCTTAATTTTAGGAGGAATATATGGCAAGATTATTAAATTTCTGATGATCTGTGTTTTAAGAAGAGCTAAGGAAAAGCTCCTTAATGTGGTTTATTTGTTATTTAAACTACTACCAAAAAACGTTAATAGGAATACCTGTATAATAATTAATTAAAAGCACAAGTTATAATTTATCTAAGTTTAATGGAGTCAAATTTACAAATTCAATTATTTAATATTCAGTTTCAAAGTAAATCTTGTAACAGGTTGGGAGCATTTTCCTCTCACTGAAACCAAATCTTCTAGACAAAAAGATGGGCTGGAGACTTACTGGTCCAGAAGTAGCAGCAAAAAGTCAATTGCAGCAAACTTTTCACTGATACTTTGTTATTACAATAATGGATAAAAACTATTGCTCCTGGAGGATATTTTTCTGCATTAATTGTTGGTGTAATTTAATCTAATAGTGGGAGTAATTAACATTTTTTCATGTAGATTAGAAACAGTGTTATATCAGTAGTAGAGCAGCCATGCAGGTCACTTTTACTTAAGTCTCAAATCAGACTAAAAGAGAGAGAGCATGTCCATACTCTGGGTCTGGCTGCTATCAAAGCTATTGGTACTGTAAGGCAGCTAACAATTTTAGAATGG